AGCAGGGGAAGAGGGTGGGAAGCAATCTTAGACGGAACGTTTACACGGTTCAGCTTAAGGTTTCATATGAAACTACAAATCTGAAAGCATTGTTTCCAGGCTTCAGCCGATGTCATTGAAACATTATCTTCTTCCCCATTTCCCTGCTGCAGAACAGAATTTGCATAGCAGTCCAGAAAGTATAGGGATAACTAAAATTACTTACCTGCTCTTCTCTGTTGACTTGATGAAAAAGGACAAGAGAGGCAAAGGAGAAAAACAAAGGCTAGAGTTGAAGTCATCTTTGAATCTACAAGCAGTCTGGATGTACGGCTTCTCTTGCAATGAATTTTTAACCTGCAGGTTTGCTCCTGCTCCCCATTAGTGTCTGTGGTTTGCTATTTATGAAGTTGCATTCCTTCCTCTGAAGTTCTTATTCTCTGATGCTGGACGAGGGGTGGACGTCATTTCTGGCTGCTAGTCCACAGAGAACGTTACAAAAGTAAACAATATGAGAAAGTCATCAGAAGTAGTTTAATTTTTTTTTTGACCAGCCTGTACCAAAATAGGTCAGAAAATTCCAGAATTAAATGAATTCTTTTGGAATCAGAGTTTTTATTTCTTCTTCATAGACAGAGGATAGACAGATGATTCATAGCCCTATCCCTCACAGTCTTTTCCTTCTAAAACTGCTCACAAAAGCTATGGGACATCTGGACTTCACTAGAGTTTCAGAAAAGGCTCTTTAAACTCCCAAAAGACAGTTTTACCACTCATGCTCAGGGGTAGAATTATTGAATCATCTTCTAACTCCAGAGAGGAGCTACTGCATCCTATTTCAGAAATGGATCAGCTAAATGTACTAGCCCTTAGAGGCTGATGTTCTTATTACCCCCTATCCCACCCTGGGGTTTTCTAAGGGCAGGATGCAGCATAGCGCTGACAGCATGAAGGAAAGGTACACTTTGCTGTTTCTTGTCTGTAAGGGAACGAGTCTCGATCCAACACTTTCCATCAGTCAGTCTCAGTCCAGCACTTTCCATCAAAAGACACAGAGTGGATTGAGAAATCCATTTAGGGACGCCAAAGAAAACCTGTCTATACAAGGGTCTTAAGCTACTACATCAAAGAACTTGCAAGCATAACTGCAACCTGTAAAAAGGTTAGTCTGAGGAAAAAAGACCAGTGAAATTCTCGATCGCATATTCTCACTGTTCAATTGTGAAATGTGCCAGCATAAGGATCATACAACATCGCTGGGGACACCACAAACAGGAAAGCCCCAGAAAACAGTAGCTCAGTCTTTAAACTGTTATAGCAGCAGGATTCTTGGATATTTACATGAACTTTTTTTCTCATTTTGACTTCAGAGACCTCCCATGTTCAGGAAAAGACTTCCCATCCCTGTGGCCATGCACAGTTTTTGAGGGTAACTGTGCAGTCTTGTACTCACTGGTGAGCATGCAAGCACGTTCCCCAGAGAAAGCCATAACATATTAGTTTTATATTATGTGAATGCTGCAACAGACAGATTTTACATTTTCTTGCACCAAAGCAAGTTTGTACTAAAAATAAAGTTAATTGCCTTGTGTTAGCTAGGTGGCCTTCATATGATTCTGCTTGTCACATGAGATGACACATGTCATCTCATGTCACCCATAGTGAGTGACTTCTGGTTGCAAACCCAAAGGTAAAATCAGCTTTGCGAGTTTGTTACTTGTGGTAAATATAAGTGGTTTAGCTGGAACTCAGAACAGCTGAATTTCCCAGTTCTTAGCATTTCTGGGTCTTTCCTGACAAATCAAAAGCATGCCAACCTATTACTAAAGATATGACACTATCGTTTCTCCTAGTGATATTCTAGGAAATATTATTTACAATTTTTACTGTATAGCAATGAATGGGGGATGAATAAAAGATGCACTTTCACCCATTCCACAGAGACTGTCTTTCATGTCTAACAGTGGTAGCTGATGCCCCTCCACCTTATGTTTGAAGATGCTGTTGTCAAAAGCAAGAGATGTGTTTGGACTTTGCAGACCGCTTAGTTCAGGACCTTTCTGCTGCACGGCCAGCAAGGGAGCTCATTAGCACTGGCTACGGTGGTGGAGAAGGGGAAAACATATTGCTTCAGCAGAAGTCTGATAGGTCATTAAAGGAAGACCCTTGCCAACTGTACAGGAAAACCCTATTTGCTTCAAGTGGAGAGAAGCCATAAAACTCCAGAAAGAAAGAGCTGCGCTCATGTGGAATGACGACTGTACAAGGGTCAACTGTGAGGTCATCTTGGTAACAATTTACATGAGATTTGCTTAGTATGGAAAAATATATATCCATATAGATTGATGAGACTATCAAAATCCTGGGGCTACAAAAAGAAACATTCAAAACCATTCAATATAAGGCAAATAAAACATGCCAGAGGAGTAATAGTATTTTCTGCTACCCAAGTGAAATATTACTAAATGGTATCAAGACATAAAAACAAAAAAAAAGGAACAAACAAAACCCCAAACACTTGTGATATGGTGCTTGAAAGCCATGTTGCACTCAGTTCTACTTAAGCGCCTCTATACCTTATAGCCAAACCCAGTGAGAAAGAGAGGATGAGAAGCACTGAACTTTAAAAAATAAATAAATATATAAATAAAAAATTCAAGTAAGAGAAAGCTCAGGAAGTAGATTGATTTGCTGGACTTGCTTAGCAGTGGTAGCTAACTAGATACTTCTGTGTTTATAAGTTTTCAGAGGTCAACAAAGGAATCCAAGTTTTTGAGACGAGATACTGGTTTAACTGGAAACAACCATTGGTGACACCACGTGAAACTGGCTTGTAAAATAATGTGACCTCCAAACAGCAAGGAAGCAAGGAACTTGAATCTATGAAGAACTGTGGGAAAATATAAAGAGGCGTCCTAATTTCTCTGCATGGAGTTCAGCATTTATCTGAACGCATTCAGCTGCCCAGTATTGCAGGTCATATTATAATGTTAAATTCTAACACCCAATTATGTCCCTTATTTAACATTCAAATTAACTTAGCAGAATAATAATATATAGAAGTTAGATCTATCATCTTTGTTTTTACTCTCACTTAAAAAAAACTGAATAATTGACATAAAGAGAAGAAAATTCTCAAGCTTCTGGAGTAATTGCAAAGGACTAAAGGAAAAAAGGTAGCCTCTCTTCTGAAGCTGCAAGTCATGGAAGCATTTAAAACATTCAGGGCTACCACCAGCAATGCTGGATCTCTTTACAGGGAAGAGAAAAGAGAATTTCTCCAGTGTGGACAATCTGCAAGTACATCACCCTTTCTGTTCTCCCCTCCAAAAGAATTAGAAATAATGAAGCTATTAGCAGAGGCTGGAGAGTTCATTGAACTGTCTCTCATGAAGTATATGTGACTTAAAAGTAACTCTGCTTTTGGCTGATCTGTTACAGCAAAAGAGAAAATCTGTGAACACGTATTTAGAAGCTGCAAGTTCAAGCCTCACTCAAGTCAGGACTATCTGCTGCTGAAAAACATTCCTTTCCCTCAGCAAGAATTTATATGGGACAGCACAGTGGCAGAATAATGCTTCTTATTGCTCACTTTATCTAAGTGAAATGAAGCAAAGCATGTTAAGTCTGAATTACACCAATTACAAGTATTTGAACAAATAGGTCTTCTGCATATGAAGGCAGTGATCATATGTCTTCACACACTTTTTCCAGAAACCCAAGGCCATTTCTCTTTGGCCTACAATAGTTTCTGGAATCCCTTCTACTCACTGATGGTAGCAAAATAACTATACATAGAAAAACACAGTTAGATTCTACACAGCTTTCTGGAGTTGAGCAAGACACGGTGTCTCCACAGGGTGAGGTCATTCCTACCCTTATTTTCCTTGGAATCATTCTACACCTTTCTATATTCAGGTCTGAGGGCTAGAAATCCCTGTAAATCACTGCTCTAACACAGCTTAAACACACAGTAGCAGATCAGAAGGCGTTCAGTCAGAGTTTGGCTATTTCTGGGGGCCAGCATCTGTTTAAAAAGGACAAATTAAAAAGAAGTTGATATACCCTGAACTTTTTATTATCTGATGTGGAAAACATCTTCCAGATTTGTTAATACTATTTTTTAAGCATTACTGATACCAAAAAAAAAAGAGAGCTAGTGTTTACTTAGGCTTCAAAGTAACAATATTTTTGAACTCTGTACAGTGCCAGGTTAGTTACACCTTTTTCCCTGACTGGAGTTGACATCACAAGGGAAACTAGCACACAAACAAACAACAAAAAGAAAAGCTCATCCTCGTTTAAAGTTTAAATATTTTCCATCTCTGTGTTTTTAATTAATGTTTGCCAAGCAAAGGGCAAAAGTTAGAAGGAAAAAGTGATTTTTCAATCTTGTAAGATCAAATTCTAAAAATAAGTGGAAAACAGCATACTATTTCAGAGGGTGTAGGTAAGTGGTTTGCAGTGTTTCTTACACACTTACGGCCATAAGAAACCAAATAACGTAAAAGATGACTGGAAGGGATTTCAAAAGTCATCTTCTCCATTTCTTCCCAATACAGGATCAATAGTACATATGCCATTCTTTAGAATGGTTTCTCTACCCTGTTCTTAAACATCTCCCCTGACAGAGGCTCCATAGGCCCCCAGACAACCTTCCAATGCTTTACATTCCTACTGTCAGGAAATGTTTCCCAGGGACACAGTTTAAGTTGCTTTTCTTACACACCAAGAAAATAGAGAACAGATTAGCTCCTTCTTTGAAGAATCATGTATCTGAAGGCTTGCATTTCAACTCCATGTTTTTGCAGAAAAGTCTAGTAATGTATGTAGCCTCCAAGTTTCCAAGATTTATACTTCCAATATAGAAAAGTAGAGATGGAAAGTCATCACAGTCATTACAGATTATCAACTATTTGTCAGTTTTAATAGGAATAAGAGTCCAAGTCTGAACTAAATCATAATCAGTTAATTGTCACCATACATAAACTATCAGCAACACAGAAGATACATTACCTATTCTACTGAACTGTACTATTACAACAACTGAAGTTAAACTGACCTGACATATTTATGCAATAGTCGTTTGTATTTCACTCATTAGCAACTAGTTGATCAGTAAGAAACCTAACACATCAGAATTTTACAGCTCAGCTTTTTTCAGCTTCTACTTATTTTGAATGCTATATTCTAACTCTTGCAAATTCCAAAGATACCCATTGTGAAAAGGACTGGTCAATGAGAAGTTTGATGCTCAGCAGCCAACAGAATCTCCAGTTTTGTCCTACCTTTCTAGTATGTGCTTCTGGCCAAAACAAAAAACCTATTATTTTCATAACAGTTTGAAAATCGTGATTTTACAGCTTGATTATGTACAAATACTTATTTCATCCGTTGCTAAAACACAGTCTCAACAAACAGGATTCCTAAATGATCTGTACTTAGAGCTATTTGCAGTCCTGCGGTAACAAAGTTTA